TTTGCTGAAGACCATACAATGATACGAAAACAATATACAATTCAAAAAAGTTCAAGACAATTTATCGTAGGGACTTGAGCAGGTACCTGCAGGCTGCACCAGTAGGCTTGAACGCACGTCGCCGTCGTATATCAACCGTTTCATCGTACAGCATTATACGATTATAGCTGACAAAATTTTACGTTTACAATTAGAAAAATGAGCGCCTTCATAATATAATTTCAGGTCAACAAAATCAAACAAAACCAACCAGAAAATGGTAAATTACAAAAAATCCCACAAAAATAAGGAAAAATCCCTTTATCCCTCAAGAACGTCAAAAATCCCACTTCCTAAAGTGGAGATGAAGCAGCATCTCTCCATCACGACGTGCACGGTTATAACTGGATTGATCGCCACCTCCAGTACACGAGATACAGAGCACATACTTCTATATTTCTTAACCTTACATAGTTATCTACGTATGTATTTACTTATATACCATATGCACATTATGTATATACAGTATTTACTTTACAATATATGTTTATATACGTATAGGAATGAGGTACCTATATTCACATAAAATAACCGAAGAATCGGCGATTGGTAACAACGCAATGGCTTGGAGATGGTGAAAATGTGGCGGCTGATGAGGCGGTCGGGTCGAAGTGAACCGAAGCAGCAAGCAAAGGTACGGGTCATTACTGCCTCCATTCATACGTTCGACAATTCTTCATTTACGTATTTCATTTGTCATTTGGCTGCATTGTCATCTACGTCTACTACGATAATAATTTGGCAATTGTGCCGAACTGCACACCATTGCCTGTCTGATTGTGTGCACCTTTACTGTATGTCTCGTAATATAGAAAAAGACCACTGCATTTATTAACGCATTCAAAATGAATTCGAAATCGATAATAAATATTGCTGAATTTATAATACCAAATTTTCTAATTTTTGATCTCGTAAAATCACACAGTTATTGTAAACCCGATTTCAGTCCAAACTAGTTTTTTCTAGGTCAAACCGGTTCATCCTAAGTGTGTCAGGTTATACTAGTTTTACCCAGGACAATCCAGTTTGACCTAAATACTTTAGACTTAAGTAGTTTAGCCTAATAGATTTCCACATATTAGCTTTAATATCTTTTTTAAAATTATTACTTTTGACCCAATGATGCGAGAGATAACGAGAAAAAAATCTGTGCTAATCTTAGGTAATCAAAATGTAAAAGCATCGACTTTTACAAATTTTTATATTCAATGGTTCTGAACTTGAAAAATTTTTTTGTTATAAATTTTGACTTGAAGGTAGGTTAACCAAAAACAAATGTTAAGCTATCCTGAGTTCAACCTGGGCAAACGAACTATGCCAATTTCGTAAAAAAAAATTGCAATTGGAGGGGTACCAACCTCTCAAAGATTGTGAAATATGGTTCCAATCGAAAAAACTTGTAGGAAAAAGTTGGTCAGAATGTCAAAATATAGATTTCAAATGTTTTTTTTTTTTTTTCGAGGCAAAAGGCCCAAAAAGTTCGCGATATGCTCAATGCGGCTAAACTGAAAGATTAATCCAAAACATTTTTCAAACAAAATTTGTTTCCTACTTTAATACAAGATTGTTTGTATTATTCAGCAGATTTGATTTACTATAATTTTACAGTTTTCAGAAATAGAAAAAA